TTTTTAATTCATTCAATTTTAATTCATTTTATTTTTGCCTGAAATAGTCTTTGATTATAGCATCCTTGGTATTAATTATCCACTTATATTTTTCAATATTTATTAAAAAAAATAGCTTTTAATTGGTTTTAATAATTAAAATTTAAATAATAATCAAATCTGTTTTTATAATATTTACTTGAAAACAAAATTAGCTTTAAAATTATTTTAACTATAAAAAATCTGTACATTTCATTCAGATGCAACCGATGCTGAAGTTACTTCAGTTCAATTACTTCCATTTTGATTTGCCTAATTCGCTATTCCCACGCCCGAGCTGAACAAATCCCACGTTCGCCCACACCCACTGAGCTGAGTGGGGCATCCTTTTTAGCCTATGAAAACAATGCAGAGATTTCCATACCAGTCAAAAAGCATATTGTAGACCAGTGCAAACTTAGATATAACCCGCTCGCACGCATTATGCGAGAGTTGACGCAACTTGCTAAACTAACAAAAACGAGAGTGAGACTGAGAGAGGGGGAGAGGAAAAAATAGAGACGCCAATGCCACGGCATAAATAAACAAAAATATTTAAAATCAACAATAAAAAATTTTTAAAAAAGAAAACAAAAAAGCAAAAGGCAACAACTATATAGACTGCAGAGTGTGCCACCCCAAGGGGTCAGGGTCAGGGGTGAAGGACTCGAGACTGGGCACGCACAGCCACTCGAGAGGTGTTAACACGCAGCGGACAATTGGCGATGCGCAGGGTGTGAAAATTGGCAACACGCGTCGCAACCAGAGACCAGAGGCAACCCAGCCGCAGCCGGAAACCCAACCGACAGTTGACAATATGTCAAATGTCACAAAGGACAAAGGACCCCGCCGGGAAAAAAAACACAGAGCAGAGCAACAACAAACGCAAACGGCCGCGTTTTATTTTGACAAGTGTCCGAGTGTTCAACTTAATTTGTGAAGCGTGTGTGCCGCTCGCAAAAGGGCTAACATCATATAACTTGCATTATGTGCTAGCTTTGTGCAATTTTCACTTGCTAATCCGCGACACACACGCACACACCCACACACAGACTAATACACAGCCATACTCATGTGGCAGGCAAATAAAGGGCAGCCGTGCCGCAAAGTATGCAGCAACTTTTGTGCGTGCCACAGCGTGTTTACCTAACGTGGGCTTTGACGCCGGGCTTAGCTCCTAAATATAAGTTAAATATGCGGATATATTGCGACACGAGAACACTTAAATACACGGCTCAGTGTGCCCGCACAGTTTGTGGCATGCGAATGGAATGTTTCACAAGATCAGAAAATAGTTGCGACTTTATGAACAGCATGATAATATATGAAATACAGGATCGATTGAAGGAAATATATTGTTAATATTATATTTAACTATATTTTCTGGTATTAATAGTATTAGACTTTTTTTTACATTATATTTATTATATTTTATTATATCTTATCTTAAGTTATCTTAAATAGCGTAGCAAACACTTTTCCTTTCTGGCAATTGTTTTTCTCATTGGAAATCTCTCTCTTTGA